CTCAATTGATCTTAAAGAAAGAACTCAGTCGCCATTTGGTCCAATCTATAGTTTATTACAAAATGACTTGGCTGAATTCAAGAAATACATTGATGAGAACTTAGCCAAGAATTTTATATGCCATTCAAAATCTCCTATAAGAGCTCCTATCTTATTTGTGAAGAAAAAAGATGGATCATTGCAAATGTGTGTACATTATCAAGGACTCAACAAGATTATCATCAAGAATAGATATCCTCTACCTTTGATATTTAGACTTTTTCATCAATTAAATCAAGCTAAGATCTATACAAAAATAGATCTATGAAGAGCATACAATTTGGTCTGCATTAAAGAAGGAGATGAATAGAAGACTGCATTTCGAACAAGGTAGGAACACTTTGAATATAATGTCATGCCTTTTAGACTCATGAATGCACCAACTGTTTTTCAATATCTTATGAATGATGTTTTTTGTGAATTTCTAGATGATCTTTTTGTCTGTTACTTAAATGATATTTTAATCTATTCTAAGAATACAAAAGAACATGAAGTTCATATTTGTCATGTGTTACGAAAACTTAGAGATGTGAGATTGTATGCCAAGATGGAAAAGTGTGTATTTCATACTACTCAAGTTGACTTCTTAGGATACATCATTTCAAACAATGCTCTAATGATGGATCCTAAAAAAATTCACACAATCATGGATTGAAAGATTCTAAAAATAATAAGAGATATACAATGCTTTTTGAAATTTTCCAATTACTATCAGATCTTCATCAAGAACTTTTCTCAAGTTGAAGTGCTACTTAGACGCTTAACTTGTAAAGACAAGTTCAAGTGGAGTAAAGAAGCAGAAGCATCATTTGAAGCTTTAAAAAAAGCTTTTACTTCTGCACCAATCTTGCATCATGTCGACTTCTCCAAAGCATTTTTTATAGAAATAGATGCATCTGACTTTGCCTTGGGTACAGTCTTGTCACAAATAGGAGCAAGTGACAAACTTCATCTAGTATCTTTTCATTCAAGAAAATTTTCAACAGCCAAGATTAATTATGAGATCCACAATAAGGAACTTCTTACAATCATGGATTCTTTTCAAGAATAGTGTCATTATTTAGATGGCGCTTCAAATTTAATCATTTTGTATATGGATCACAAGAACCTTGGATATTTCATGTTAGCATGTATTTTGAATTATCACAAGGCTCGTTGAAGCAAGTCTTTGTCAAGTTTCAAGTTCAATATCACTTATTGGCTAAGAAAACAAGAAGATTTGTTTGATGTCCTTTCTAGACGTTCTTATCTTATACAAATAAATAAATAAATAAATAAATAAATAAATAAAACTTTGAGCAATAAAAGATAATTTTACTAAAACCAAAACAATTTATCTTTGAACAATGAAATCAACATTGACTGTTGATTTGATTTTTCTCAAGCAATTCCAAGTTTGAATTTAAAGAGAACCTATTATATTTCAAAGGATGTTTATATGTTCTAGAAAGAGAAGCATGATTACGTGCTCTTGAAGCTTTTCATAAATTTCTTGCAGTAAGACATTTTGGATATAATAAGACTTTAGAACTTATATCCAGAGATTTTTGGTGGCTTCAAATGTGGAAGGCTGTTAAAGAATTTGTGTAGACATGTGATATTTGTTCATGTTCAAAAACTCCTTGTCATCAACCTTATGGACTCCTCCAACTATTACTTATACTAGAACAATCATGGTCTTTTATCTCTATGGAATTTATCACAGATTTTTAATTTCAAGTTTATATGATTCCATATTCGTAATTGTAGATTGTTTCACCAAGATGGCGTATTTTGTACTATGTACAAAATATATTATAGGTGAAGAAACATCTATTGCTATTATATTGCTAAATTCTTCCTTAACAACATCTATTACTATCATGGATTACCAAAGGATATTATATCAAATAGAAGAACATAGTTTTTGTCGAGATTTTGGAGAATTCTTTTGAAAATATTGAAGGTGGATATAAAACTAGCTTCTATTGTAAGGAACAACATCAACTCCATGTGGGGGATAAGGTTTGATTACTTCATCATAATATTAAAACTATTTATTCTTGTGACAAGCTCGATTATCGTAGGCTTGAACCATTTCCTATTTGTGAATAGATCAATCCAATTGCTTACAATTACACCTACTAGAGTCTATGAAAATCCATCATGTGTTCCATGTGTCTTTACTTGAGCCATACAAGACAATGGTTATACAAAGAAGGAGACAAATGCAACCACCTCCTATAGAAGTGGACAATAATAAAGAATTTGAGGTAGAAGAAGTCTTAAATTCAAGGAGGCACCGAAATAGGTTAGAATATTTGGTACATTGGCATAGATATGATATTAATGAATGCACATGGGAACCCAACAAGCTAGATTATCATCCCTTCCAAGATTGTAGTATCAAACATGTTGTATCTTGCCATCTATTTGAGGAAGAACATGTCATTCTTGAAGATATTCATTTTGATTTTGCCATCTCAAAGGTTGTGATAGTCGCAATGTCTCATCTGATAGCTCAGCAAATGATAGCTCTTGAGTTGAATCTGTTGGTTGTTGGTTTTTCATCTCCTAAACATTGAAAAATCCAAAGAAACAATGATACAAGATAGAATGAAATCTCCATTGGACTTGCTTTGTTTTATAACAAAGAATTTCTTGACTCTTCATCTTGATTTTGATGGATGTCATTATCAATGGTTGAAGGGACCTATCTGCTACGTTTGAAGGGAACAAAGATGAAAATACATGGCAAATACAATTCAATGCATCTTGGACTTTATTAACATGTAATCACCACTCTTCATGGAATTCATCTCTAAAAAAAGGAGGAGAGGGAGTAATGTCAAAGACATGCATATTTACCTTGATAATTATGTAGATAATAAGAATATGTAGAAATAAGTCAAAGTAGATAAATATGATAATATCTTGTAGAAAGCTTCCTAAAAGCTTCATAGATGCTATTTTACCTTTATACATGTCTATAGGTGATTAATAGGTTGAAAACTTGGCCAACAAGGAAGCCATGTGTCAACATGTTGATCACTTGTAGTACAAGTTGGACATATGGCTCACACCTAGAAAACTTGCCTTGCAAATTAGACATGTATTCTGCAAATTGGATATGTACTAGAGGTCCTATAGCATGTCGCCACATAATTCTTAGTTATGTAGTATATATAGAGGTAAGAGTGAGGACTTCTTCACTCTTATCAACTCCTTTCTTGCTTTTAGTCTAGTTTCAAGAGTCTCATGTTTTCTAGTCTTTGGCAATAGCCATTCCATTTCTTCCTTGAATATAAATACTTTCTTTTATTTTGTCATTTTTTTTTTGACACAGATTCCACAAGTTTATGTATCTTCTTGTTGTTTGTGTCCTTAACATCTATATTAAAGATAGTCAAAGATGTGAGATTGCTTAATTCAATAAGCAATGATGCCAAGCTTGAGTACCCTTCTATATTAAAAGTAATTTAAGATGTGAGATTACTCAATTCATTTGGCAATGATGTCAAACTTGAGTACTTCCTTATATCAAATGTAATCAAAGATGTGAGGTTGCTCAATTCATTAGGCAATGATGTCAAGCTTAAATACCAACTTATATCAATGGTAGTAAAAGATATGAAGTTGCTCAATTCCTTTGGTAATAATATCAAGCTTTTGCACCTTTTTAATTCAAAAGTAGTAAAAGATATGAAGTTGCTCAATTCCTTTGGTAATAATATCAAGCTTTTGCACCTTTTTAATTCAAAAGTAGTCAAAGATATAAAGTTGTCTAATTCATTTGGCAATGATGTTAAGCTTGAGCATCCTCTTATATTAAGGGTTTTCAAAGTAAGAAAACTTTTTATTGATGTTGGTGATAGTCTTAACCTACTATAATAATGTCAATTAAGTATCTTCAAAGAAGTCATATCTTAATCCAATTGAATATTTATTTAGCTTGTTAAGAACAAAAAATTAGAAATAATCCAAAAACCCACATATGACTTCTATTACTCTATGATATCAATTATTGACAACTTTTGTATGAAAATGGCCCAAATACTAAGGCAACACACTCAAATTCAGAATCTAAGTGCTCAATTAGTGGCACATGCAAAGGTCCCCTCAACCTAGACATGATCCTATACTTAAGAACTCCAACTTCACTCTAGTACATCACCAAACTAAGACATAGACAACCTTTCACTTCAACTTCATTGCAACCCCCTTCCAAGAGGTGGAGTAGACAAACTTCTCTTCCTAGACTTAGACAAATCTTTCAAATAAAAAGTTGAAAGATTAATAAAAAACAAAAACAAAATCGAAATCTATCTTTCTTTTACAAAATCCTCACACACCAAATGATCTACTCCAATCACTATCATTGAGACACTCACTTTCCAAACCAAATCATTTCAATTTGCACAACACCCACAAATAAAAATAAAAAAATGTTCTCTCAATCTATAAACTTATTTTATGAAAAAACTACCATAAGGAGTTGCTAGTCAATGTGAGCTAAAATGAACATCTACTAGATGGAAGTTTATTCTAATTCAAAAAAATTAATTTATTTAAGTCTTTTATTAATTGTCAATATTGCTTACTTCTTATTAAATCATTCTCTAACTTCTCTAAATTAATCCCCTTGATTAAAAAAAACTATTACTATAAGTTGTACTTGCAATACAAAGTTATACAAAAAAAATTATACATAGATAATAATATTTTTTTTTTCTTATTCTATCATCTTTTTCTTTTCTTTTCTTTTTTATCATAAATCATCCATTAATAAAAGTTCATCTAGGAATGGAAATCTATCCAAAAATAAATTTTCATCTGGAAATGAATTCTCATCTAATACAAATTCTAATCCAAAAAAATCATCCAAATCCTAATTCATCCCATTCAAACCTAACTTCATTCAAGGTGACCTAAATTCGTCCAAGCAAATTTCATCCATAAGAATCAGTATCTTTACATGAATATTACTTACGATGGATTTTTATTCGACCTGGATAGTTAATCAGCCAATTTCTTTTTGTGGTGACAGAGCCTCTGTGATGAGATTCCCTTCTAACCAGGCTGAATGTTGAAGCCGTGTGGACAACTCACAACCCACCGAAGCTTGAAATCACAGTCGGTCTGTTGGTTGATGAGGATGCTGATAGCAGGAATTCAGACTTCAATCTCGACAACCCTCTCAACTACACGGCTTCCGGGAGGGCCTTCTTTTATCAGAAGTGAACTGCAAGACGTATTCTAATTCTGAGTTCCTCCTACGGAAACTGCAGCTACTCTGGCAATTCAGGAACTGACCCAATGGCAGGCCCTTGCACCGGGGGTCGTCTACTCTAACTTCCCTTGGACTTCAAGCAGAAGGTCAATCACGCTCAAGGTGAGTATTGGCTTGTTGGTGTTGCTTCAAATCTTTATGGTTCTGGTCCTTAAAGTATTTTCAAGGGCAGATCGTTGCTGATCGTGTGATGAGTCAGGTTATTGAGGAAGGTATGCTGTACCGAGGTTCTATTGGCAAATTAGTTGTAATTACTGGAGCATCTCATGTAGCATATGGTTCGAGAGGTACGGGGCTGCCTGCTAGAGTACAAAAGAAGTTGACGAAGAGAACCCAAGCAGTAGTGCTGCTGAACCCGGACGACAACTGGAACAAGGCAGATCACCTCGGCGCCGTCGAACACCCAAGCCTTGTGCAACCACAATCTCGCAACAAATCACACCAGGCTTGCTCTGATTCAATTGCGTCTACCCTTCAGAAACACAACATCCTGATGCGGTCGCCACGGAACCAGCAACCACTCTCTTGAGTCGTCGACAGCCGATTCCAGAACAAGGACCGCAGCTCCGACCGACCGCCGTAACCGCAAAACTTCAGTCCACCACCCGAACACAACCAGGCCAATTGATACGAATAAAAAAACAAAAATAAGAATTGCGCAGGTAATCGCCACCGACACTGCTGCACCAATCAAGAGGAGATAGCAACAGCCAAGCCGCAACGCAAGCCGATGTAAGAGCAAACTTGAGCCGCTCTAACCGCAACCACCTCCACCCAATTCCGTCGACAACAGGATCAGCAACAAGAGCAAGAGATCGAGGAGGAAATAAACATGAACGCCGACGGCGTGTCAACACAGCAACACCACAGATTGGCCGCTCGGGCATAACCGACTTCTCTGCACCGAGTGACGAGAGCTAGAAGGAAATCAAAGTGACCACTGATCCATGACGACCCTTGCTCCAACCACAGCACGCACAACTTCGCGGAACCTAGTAATGACCAGATCAGGGAATCAACCCCACCGGCATTACCGCACGTCCAAACTCCGTCGTAACTGCATGTAATGCCGAAGAGGAGGGAAATCGCCTTCGCACCACAAGTAAAACCGCGCCGCACACGCTATCCACACACTTCAACAGCCGCGCAGCCAACGAAGAAGGTAGATCAGCAACCGGCCGAAGCACTTCCGCCAAAGAGTAAAACAACTGGAAGAACTGGAGCAACTGGAAGAAAAGACAACCACAACGGAACCGCCTCTGCAGGAACTAGGAAAGAAGAAGAAAAAAACCAGAGCCGAGAGAGTTTCACCGCACAGCAGCCCACTGCAATAAACCGCTCCAAAATTGCTCCAGCCACACAGCCACAGTACCAAGGGGACAAGGCTGCACCGCAGCACTTCAAAGAGATAAAAAAATCAGCGCCGAAACAAACCCGGTCCAATACGCGAAGCTCACACCGCAACAAAATGCGGAGCTCCTAAACTCAGTACCGGGACCAAAAAACGAGAGAGATAGGGGAAAAAATGAGGCCTGCCCCGCCCATCTCCGGACCCCGGCAGTTCCTCCCCGGAATCTCGGACAGCAGCCCCTTCCTGGTTTTCGGGGCAGCAATTTCGGGGTAGAATTGGTTGCCCTTACAAGTTTGGGCCTCATGCCAAACTTGAAGGTTTCCATAACATTAATTGTTTGTCCTATTCCTGCACACTCACAAGGGCGTAGTTCAACAACCAAGTATCATCACCACATGTCTGAAGTATAGCATGATAGTACTAACAACCTCATATTCTCTCTCTCTGTCATATAATGCAATGAAAAGAGTTTAGTCCTTTGTTACTGTACGATCCATATACCTCCATTTGGTATAGAAGTTGAAGCTGGTCCAAAGGCTCAACACAGGAGTCAGAATCAGGTGAGAACGTTAAAACTACATTTTCATGCACCCTTCGCAGTTTTACATACAGTAAAAGATGAGTTTTGATACAACTCCACAGGTATACCGTCTTTTCTTTTCTCAAGCTTGCTCTCTCAACCTGGGAATGTGATTAAAGTCGCTGATCTATGATGCTATTGGCGTGCACCCTTACGTGGGTATGGATTATAGGCCACCACTCTTACTAAACTCTAGAATGCAAGGAGAAAAAGAGGGCAGTGTGATCCAAAAGAAGAGAAAAGTAAATAAAATTGCCAGGTCTAGACGAGAGAGGGCACCGTCATAACTGTGCAAGTTCTGCCATCCCAGACACCCAAAGAGGCCAAATTTGCCTGATGTTAAGACCGATTTATTTTGACGAATTGAATAGTTCAATATGAACAAAGAATTTGAGGCGTCAAAAGAGCGACAAACCCGCTCATATGTAATTACTACAACTCCATCGCTGCGAAGCATTGAACTGCGCAGAGCAGCGCACAGAGCATTGTAAGCTGTAACGTCGCCTCAGTACCTACATCGACCAGCTGGATCGCGCCTCCACGAGAATTAGTTCTAGAAAGAAAAGAAAAAACGAATGCAAATGTTGTTTTTTCCATCGCAGGAGGCCTGCAAATTCATAGGGAGATCTCAACAGACTGAGGCATGGCTTGAACAACCTCACTCGTGAGAGCATGCTTCGGAGAGCCGGACTGATGGGCCTCTGATCAGTTGTGCTACGGGTGGAGAAATCTGGCAGCGCCATTCGTTTGCACGCATGTCGAACATCCTTCCCCACCCATGAATTTGATCACATACTCTCGAATGCCTGACTGCCATAGTCGTTGTCGAACTGCGTGTATTTGGCTGCCGACAAGTGAGCGGAAGGTCGAGTTGTTTTCAAGGAAATGAGAACATCATCTGCTGTGATAGGCCCGAGCTCAGGCAGAGGATCCTCGCAGTTAGGGTCCCGCTTCTCAAGCACAGCCATGACACGCCGCAAAGGTCGCATCGCTGCTTCCTTGCACACAATGCGAATATCGGATCCCGAGTAGCCATCGGTTTGTTCAATCATCGTGGACAATGGGAGCTCGATATTTTTCTCCTGAATCTGAAGCAGAGATTCAAACATTTGCTCTCTGGCCTCAGGCTCCGGCAGCGGAACTAAGATTCGCTTCTCAAGGCGTCGTAGCATGGCACCATCAAGCTGCCAAGGTAAATTGGTGGCAGCGAGAACGAAGACAAGCGCATTGGACTTCGTCAACCCGTCCATCTGCACGAGGAGCTCGGTCTTGAGCCGCCTACTCGCCTCGTGCTCGCTGGACCCTTCTCCTCTAGTGCTTATCAATGCGTCGATCTCGTCCAAGAAGATTGTGCTTGGTGCGAAATGGCGCGCCAGCTCGAAAAGTACCTTCACAAGCTTCTCCGAATCGCCCCGCCATTTGCTAACTATGGAAGAGGCAGAAATGTTGAAGAACGTGGTCTTGCATTCCGTCGCCACAGCCTTCGCCAGCATTGTCTGCCAGTTGTGAGCAACGCCGAACTCTATTTCAGTATTCAATTACTCCACAAACCCACCAACCTCTAAAGTCCTAAACCAAAACGACGAAGGCGTAACCCGCACATTGTAATACAGCTGAGAGTAAAACCCCCTTGAACCTATTGAGGATGCAATCAAAGAAGGAGAAGAGTGCGAAATACCTTCCCAGTTCCCGGAGGACCAAAGAGCAAAATCCCCTTCCAGGGCGTTAACAAACCGGTAAAATATTGCGGATACTTGATCGGCATAACAACAGCTTCTTTCAGCAACCGCTTTGCATTCTCCAGCCCCTTGATCGTATCCCACGACACATCCATGTCACCTTTCACGATATCCTGCATGATATTCTCTGCCAGAATGGTCGTCTCCAGGGAGTTAAACACCGGCAACGGCTTCTGCCATCCTTTCTTCTCCTCCACAACAACCACCCCATTCCCCAAACCCCCTTCCCGAGGCACTTCTCCAACCTCCCCTCCCGCATTCCCCTGATTCAAAAACTTCTCATACGGCGCCAGCTCCCGCTTCCTAGAACTCACGTCCACAAACCCGTTGCCTTCCTGACGGAGGAGGCTCTCCTGCTTCGGATCCGGGCCACTGCTCGTCGCATTCCCCATGCCGGCGACAACACTCCCCGCCCGTCCACTCGAATACCGCCGCGCCCCAAACTCGTAAGTTCCGCCACTCCGATTGCCCTCCTGCCCCTCACTCCTCCTCCCCCACCTTCCCCTCCCGACCGAAGAAGAAAAAGAGTTCTTCCGTCCGAACTTAGCGTCGTACGCTTGCTTGAAATCCTCAAACAACCATCGAGTGAGGGCGGCAGCGTCCTCGGACATCCTCACCACAATCACCACCACCACCACTCCCACATGCAGGGCACAAATTATCTCGCTCCCCCCAGAATCTACTCACAGACCCGTTAAGAAAGCAAAAATGCGCTTCTCGAGTATGAGAAGTCTGGCGCCAGCGAAATGGAGATAGAATTAGGATGCTCGCAGCCCAGCTGTGGTGGCAATCGCACCAGAAACGGGCAGCATGCGCCGAAGCTCGCACAGCCCAGAAACAGCGAAATAGCTGCATCACTCCCACCTCCCCCCCCCCGTCCTTGGATGCTCCGCCCACGACATTCATCCGTATATTCATCCATACGGTGTATTGTTTGCTCGTTGTCCACGCTGGTACTCGGCCTTGTTCGGAATTTCATCCTAGTTGGCAGCCCCATGGAAATCCAGCAAGGATGCTTTTGTGCTGCATTTGAACTCCGCGTGCCAGGTGTCTGTGTTCTCGAATCCAGGTCGCCGCGGGTGGATTCTTAACGGGTGGACCCCGGCCCGGTATTTGTTTCTTTTAACGAGGTTGTCGCCCGCCCTTCATCCATGAGCTTTCCAACGAAAGGTGAACAGTTTTTGGCATGTCAAAAATAAAAACAAAAAAGTTGGTATCTCGAAAGTACTAAATAAATAAATAAATAAAGCTTCTTGACTGGTTAGAAAGTACAAATTGAGGAGAAATACTTAAGTGATGTGATATTGAATTGCACCTTTGGATGGAATTTGAACATATGTTTTTTTTGTTTTCTTTGTCGATATTCCATTGGTTTTGATTTAACGGGAGTGAAAAAAACAATACGTTATGTATAGATATTTATAATGCAATGAGACGAACCGAATTGGGACTTTTGAGCCATGAGTAAGACCTTACATGTATCCACAACACAAGCTAACTAAATATATCAAAAGTGCCAAAATAGTGTGTGAAGCGTTGGATCGATAGTGATTGAAGTTAAGTATGAAATGACAGCCTACTCGCGTGTGTTTGCACAAATGAGATTAATGAACTTTGAAAGCGGCTACATTTAGCAACGTTTTAGAGATGCGTATATAAATTAGAGCGGCTTAACAATTGGGGGGCTTTACACATGCAACAATAGAGTCAATTGGACGAATTAGACGACGACATTCATCCAACACGGACTATCATCCAACGCAGTCGAACCCCCGACGCACGCTTCATCACGGGCTTTGCTTTTCGGTCTTCGTGGGTTGTGTTGCTGCTTTCCTTCGGTAACTCGCAGATTGTTTGTTGCGGATTTCTGTTTATCGCTGCCGCTACTAGTTTTTTTGTTGAAGGAGTTGGTCGTGGCTGGTATCAGATTTAGGTTTTCTCGAATTTCTGAAGAAGGCTGGAGTTTAAGAACGGTTTAAGTGATACATTCAGGCCAAGATGAGCCTACAGGATGTGGAAGAGTTGAAGGCTAACCTTTACTCTTACAAAGAGCAGCTCCAGCAAGTAAGTGGAGCCTGTCTTGATGCTATTGGTTAATTAATTAATTATTTCTAGAGGAGTGAAGAATTCGACTCGATTGGATGTTGTGTTGGAGTAATGTGGCAGTTGTTTTGGTGAGTATTGGTGGTTACATGGTTAGGGTTTGGTGATATGAGTGCAGGTGAAGGAATTGCTGGTGGTGGATCCTAACAATGAGGAGTATCAAGAGATGGAGAAAGGTTTGACGGAGGTAAGTATCTCTGAGAAAGCTCTACGCGGGTGCGATCCTTGTGAGTGTTGGTTAGATTATGCAAATGGAGGTGGTCAGTCGGTCTGTGGTAGGTTGAGAGATTCCTGGAAGAAGCTCCAACAGCGGCAGGGGTACGCGGTGTCCGTAGGTAGATTAAGGGACAGAGAGACAAGTAGTGCCGATCAGCATGTAGTGTTAGCTAGGGTTTGGAACTGTCCTAAGGATCATCAATTTTGTTTAAGCAGGGCAACACGACTTCGCTGCATGCGACAGAGGACATTTGTCGGAGTTGCTTTGCAAGGTGAGGTGGTTTGACCTATTGACACACAACGGTGTGTTCGACAGTGGTCATGATTCCTTCTACGTTCGCTTCTGACACTGTGCTAAGATGGACGTAACTTGCCCTCAACTTCCTGCAAGGTTACAGCAATTTAATCATTCAATTCCAATCGCACTAATATCTATACGTGACGTTTTAGTGCAAGAGTTGTCGGTCATTTTCGCCCCTGGTTCCTAGTGGATGATTAGCTAGTCTTATCTGACTGTTTGCAGGTCCTAGAGTTGACATATGATCTGCTCAATGAAGCACAACAAGCCAAAGAAGATACAACGGCTTTGGAGCAGGAGCAGCGTGAAGCTGAGGCTGCAAGGATGCAGAGGCTTCCTCCTCATCAATCCGCCACTTTCGAGCCGCATCAGGTGGCGAATTTGACGTAGTCTTGAGCTCTTACTATGCTAACTAGTATGGATTAGGGCTTCAATCCTGATCATCTGGGTCTGGAAATAGAAACACAAGTGAAATACGTTTCTAGAAGAATATGTTTCATAAGTTGAATGAGCTCTTTACGAGGCTTTTAAGTCTTCGACCCCCCCCCCCCGTTTTTTTTCCCCCTTCTAATTCAATAGCAGACAAGTCTTCTTAACATACCCATCATATCTTCATTTACAGGAGAAAAACTTGACTCATAATATTCCAGGGAGACTTGCTGTTGGGACTAAAGTTCAAGCCATGTGGAGTGAAGATGGTCAATGGTAAGTGATTCTAATGTTGATGAAGTACGGTCTTAGAATGGAACGCATGAATTGATTCTAGTTTTCCTCTGGAGTCCTGAAAGGACATTCTACGTTGGGGAGTGTGTCAACCTGTTCGAGGGCTAACCCTGGACATATCCGGTAGATCTAATAATGGTCATATTAATTACTATTCAGCCGTATCTGTTGTATGCAGGTACAAAGCTACTGTGGAAGCAGTTACTCCAGGGGGCTACTTTGTCGTCTACGATGAGTGGGGCAACAAAGAAGAGGTATGTGGTTTTATCTGAGGTTTTTTCAATGCGCGGTGGTAATGTTGTGATTGCTTCTCTAATTTTTATTTGCACTCTTTTTTTCTTTTCTTTTTTTGATGATGATTTAGTGTCTGAAATATGTTATTTACCCTGTAGGTAGATGCTTCGAATATAAGGGAGCTCAACATCCCAGATGACGATGCCGAAGATTTAGACAAGATGCTCGATGGAGCTGGAGCTGTAGCTGAGGTCGTTGACGATGCAAATGTGGATCCATTGTTGAGTGCCGAGCAGCAAGCTAACCTCACCAAGCTCGCGTTAAAGAGGAAGATCGAAGAAGCAGCTAAAATAGATGTTATTTCCAAGGATTTGCCACCAAAATTGCGAATTAAACCTGATGATTCAGAAGATGTGGTGCGTGCAGCCTATTTCATTAATTATATAATATACGAGCTAAATGGTTCTCCATGTTCACAAGCATTAAGTGTCATAAACGTTCAAACAAGTTCATTTAAGGATCCGTGATTCTTTTGCAGAAAGCGGCAAAGAAGAAAAAGATCCATGCTTTCAAGTCGAAGGCTAGGCTTGAACAGATGGAGCTGACACAGAATAAGCATCAAAATGCTTGGCAGCAGTTTCAAACTACAAAAGGGAAAACGAAAAAAGTGAGTGATAACTTGTTTTGTCTTGAACCTTTTTGAAGATTGCCTAATCCTATTACCTCTGCATTCCTTATTACTTCCAGCTTGATGTTTATTAAATATGGAGGATTTAAGGATTTTTAATTCATTACTATCCAAAAACTCAGTGTGTCATTTTCCTGAACAACCGCTGCCCATTATTAATTTGGCGCATTGTGTGAATTTTCTAGCAGCAAGTGGGGTTCTTCACGGGGCGTAAAAGGGAGAGTATTTTTAAAACTCCGGATGATCCTAAGGGGAAGGTAGGTGTCACAGGTAGCGGAAAAGGAACTACAGAATTTCATAAGCGTGAGAAGCATTTGCACCTGAAAGTTGGTGGTGTGGATGGAGACGATTATGAATGAGTATGTATGTACATATTCATTCTCTTGTCATTGAATTGGTGTTTTTAAAAGATCTGTGGAGTTCTTGTATTCAAAAAAGCCATTGATATCTGCATTTAACTGTACTTAGATTTATTTATTCATTTATTTATTTTCTGTATTGAAATGTTATTTCAGAACGTCTTGTGACTGCATCGTTTTGATGTTTGTTGGATTTCACAATGATTGAGCACTAGATTAGATTGTGATCTGAGATATTTTTTCATTGGAGGGTACACAACTTGAAGACTCAATAGACAAATCAATGGTTTTATACGAAGAGAATCAAACTGTAGAAATCAACCATTAAATGCTTTTGTTAAGACAAGTAAAGTTTTCAAGCTACAGACCTTTCAGTCAAGCTCATCTCTTAACGTGGATGAATCACATATGACGGTCTCGTGATTGTAAACCATGAAGCCCAACATCAGGTGGATACTGAGAATACTGTTTTTGTGCGTGGTTGTCATCGTTTTTCCTTAGTAAAAGATGGGGCACATTTCATATCTGTGAATACTAAGAACACTAATCACTCACCAGCAGTATGAAATTAAGTGGAATCAGACTTCAGTGTCATTGAAACGCATGCTACGTTGTGGTGAGTTGTACTGAAACAAAGGGGTAATGAATTATGAAGAGTTTTGTGCTGCTTCAGAATTGTCACTTTTCTCTCTTCAAGTACTTACAAGGTGTGACGATTCAGAGGTTTCAATTCTAACTTACACCATATAAAGTAACAATCCCTATCTTGACAATTGAGGTTCTAATTAATTTGTTATCAACACTTAAAAGCTTTTCTTTAATGTTTTTTGTTATTTAGTGAAAGTCTTTTGTTAAAGTTGTATCAGTTTTGTGTCATCGTTTCAATGGAGGTTGTTTTTTTTTTTTTTTTTTCGCAAAATTAGAAAATAGATTTCTTCGAAGTCCTTCCAAAGACTCACAAACTTATGGACTTTATGTTTATTTTTAAAAAACATGAATCCTACTAACCTTAGATTTTTTTCATACTTCATCTTTTATTTTTATAAATTTCGTGTGCACCTTTAGTTTGGTGGTTTTTATGGCATTTGAATTTGTTTTCGGTATTAATACGAACGATCATAACAAAAAATTTAAAACTATGTTTTAAATATTTTAAGTGGTCCAAAAAAAATCTTTTAAAATAAAAAGCTTATTGTATAATTTTGACCATTGCATATGAATATATTATTATTACGTATTAAGTATGTATACATCATCTAACACCTCGGTTGTTCTAATCAAAGTTGTATTTAAAATGTCTTCTTACTCTAAAGATGTAAAACTTCGAAAAGATTGCATCTATTGAAACAAAGTCATTTAAACGATGGGCATTTTATTTCACCACACTTTCAGAACAATGTAATATTTAGGGTATTGTTAATGTTGTTGCAGTTTTTGCTATTACCACACATACACATCCCTAAAAAGAATCAAAGAATACATATATATATATATATATATATATATATATATGAAATAAAAATAAAAATAAAAATCCCCAAGTAACTTAAATCAAATGATCCAAAACCAAACTTTATTTCAGATCTGATATCCTGAAACATAACGTGTTTATTGTACCCTATTTTATTATTCGAAAAAAAAAACAAAAAACAAAACAAAACAAAACAACACAAAAACAAAATTACATTAACGTTAGCCTAGTGAAGTGGACCTATGGCCCTGGTGAGTTGGTGATGGGTCCCACGAAGCCCTAATTTTCCAGAAAAGCTGCAACTATGAATCGTTTTAATTTTTGTTAATCTGCCCAGAGATTAGCTAACTGGGTGGCAGGCACAAGGTACTCTCTCTGACCCCAACGGAGTCAGCAACTCAGCCTGGGCCCGGTTCCCCAATAGAAACCCGAGTCCACTTTGCACCCAAAGTCTCTGGGCAGTTGAAAAATTGTGGACAGACCGCGGGCAGTCAAGCCGACTGCCAGTCTTGTCCCCATAGCCTGCCCAGTAGCTTGCCCCAGAGTCTGCCCAACACACTGGCAGTAACAGTACCTGTTAACAAAGGTTGGGGGTTCACAAATGTGCACTCTAGTCCCAAAGCTGCCCGCTCAGCCACCCTCTGCCCCAAACTTCCTTACTCTAATACCTTAGCTCTATTCACAGCATTTCTCTTTCACTGGGGCTATTATTATTCTTATTATTATTATTATTCTAATCATCATCATCATCATCATTATTTTTTTTAGTGTTATTATTAATGTATGTCTGACTTTAAAAAAGTGGAATTTGTTCACAAGGACATCAAACTCTTTTGAATTTTTGTATCCTTTTTACTTTTTTAAAAACGTTTTTTTTCCCCCCTTTTCCCCTCCCCTCCCCTGCTGCCCAGTGCACATGGATGCCGAACCCTGTGACAGAAAACCACCACTTCCTCATTTCTATTCCCCAAATAGCCCCCCCCCCACAATTGACCTGAATAAACACTCACTTTCTACGAGGAATGACATCCATACGTTCATCGACGTTTTCATCCTTTTTGTTTTCTTCTTCACGCAAGGTGGGTGCCAGAATGGCCCTGACGCCTATTTCGGCTCTCCTTTGCTTTTGCGTCCATCGCCCTTGCTTCTCAGTGTTGATTTAAAATCATGGGGTTGAAAGGGAGTAGGGGGCCATGTGATGGTTGTGGATGACCCCCCCCCCCCGACGAAAACGTAAAGCAAAAGTAGTGTCGGTGGGTGAGGGGATGAATATTGGGAGGATGATTAGGGTGCTGTGAAAGGGAGAGTGGGGGACCCGATGTTGTAGATTTTGCAAGTCTATGTCATTCTGAGCTCTGTCTGGCCACAGGGAAAGATCTACCACAGCGTACTGCTGCTGCTGCATCCATGCTGACCTTGTCAACACTGTGCTCGTTAAACTGGGTCCACGGCCATGTCCTTTTCATTCTCTTTCTGGGGTACCGTGCCAGGCCGCAGAATGCTGCCAAGCCATCTCTATCCTCTCATTCAATTACAAATATATATATATATATATATATATATATATAAATAATAAATACTGCGACAGTAACAATAAAGAATAGGGGAAAGAACGCAAACAAAAAAGTGTGGCCAGATTTACGGGAAACCCTAAACTACTGGAGAGAGAGTTCTGGTAAGATCCTGATAAGGAAGACGAACGAGGGCTGTGCCCATGTTCCTCAACTGCACTTTGTACCTGACAGAGGGAAGCTGGGTACAGTAGGACATAACCCTATTTTTATTTTTATTTCGTTTTGGGTTTCCAGTTTTGCATATTTTGTTTATTTTATTGTTCTGATTATTCACTTTCTGATACAAGGTAACTTTCAGTGTGTAAAAAGCAAAAAAAGACCAGCAGCCATGGGTACACCATTATCACAGGTTGTTGTCACATCTGTTGCATCCATCATTGAGGGTGCTGGACAATATCATAGAAATCAGACGTTTGTTAGCCTTTTTCAGGAAGTATTGTTTCACCCCAGTTTTTCTTCTTCCTCATTTTTTTGAATTTTTGAATTTTTGAAAAAGGGGCTTCTTTTTCACACTGCAAGCCAGTACAGTATTGCAGCAATTTGAATGCATTAATTGTAAACAGGGGTGCAGATGCATGTCTTTGTTAGTAGATTTGCAAAGCTGTTTTTAGTACAAGGTGCCCACGGTGACTGAAAAGGTGGCAGCCCTCTCTCTGAGCTGTTGTTGAAAAATTGTGCCGTCTGCGTTGGCTCTGAAAGGCATCGGCGCCTCAAAATTCTTCCGGTTTCGCACCTGGTGCCTCATGCATTCAAGTTTCGGTACAAATGTCGCCGTTGTGGAAGTACAATGCCTCGTCTTGTGGGTATTCATTCACAGCACGCTGTCACAGAATCTGCTATTCAGCTTTTGTGTCAAGCTTCGCTGGTGGAGTCTCCTTGGTGCATTCAGTTTCTGCGCCTGTGACGACTCCATGAGGTGAAGATGAGACCCATGACAGCGTGAAAAGACGCATGAAAAGGCAGTTCTCATGTGCGGCTAGCAGCGGTGAATTTTAGCGTGAGAATGGGTAAAAAACGGATTCACTTCCTTGAGGTGATGGAGGCTGCAGGTTGAGCAGCAGCGCCGCGTTGCGTTTCCGAGGGGAAAACTGAATAGCACAGAGAGGGGCATCATGAAACAGCATACACACCTACCGAACTCAGTGGGTTCAGTTACAAACCTACTGACTGGGTGGAGAAGTAGCTGCGTTCGATGCGGACCCGAGGCTGCTGCTACAAAGGCGACAACGAAGCCCACTCGCTGACAGTGTTGTCCCGCTCGCACGCAATCATGTGTACAAGGCCATTGGAATTGTGACACCCCAGATTCAAGGCCCGAATGATGGCGCCCAGAACTGGGGGAGGCAATAGTAGAGATTCATGTGACGGAAGCGTAGGGTTGGATCTATGTGCTGGATGTTGTGTTTTGTAGGGAGTAGAGAGGTGGAGTATGAGAGGAGGGGCCCAATTTGGTTGCAGAAGAACATGGAGGAGGCGATAGGGAGCAGCTGCAGATGGCAGTACCAAAGCACTGGTAACAGATCATGTGGGCTACCGACGTCTTCTCGTGAGGTGTTTAACTCAACAGCGGATCAGTGCTGGATGTTATGGGCATGAAGAGATGGTGCAGTAGTTGGGTAACGAGAGAGAGAAAAAAAAAAAAAAAAAAAAAAAAAAAAAATAGTGGGAGAGGAAAAGAGAGAAGAGGTTTGGAGTCATAATCGAGCTCGTGGAGACGTTGAGGGATTGTAGGGATGTGTGATAAATTCGTTGTTGATAGCTTCTGAGGGGACGAAGGGAGGCTGAGGTGAATGTGTGTTCATTCCAGCTGGCGAGTGGCATGAATGTGGTGAGTGTTGCAACGTTGTTTAGAACCCACATTTGCAGCTGCATTTCGTGCAAGCGCATCGTCCGAGTAGCTTGGGTTTGTCGGCAGTGAATGTGCATCTTAAGCTCATCGCAGTGTGCTCTTTTAGTTTGAGTTTTCAGCGATCAGATCCTTCACGCGCTTGAGTACCGCTTGTCATTTGTGGTGTCAACCGGTGGTGTTCGAAATCTAGTCTTTCAACCCCTCTGCAATCTTCTGCTTCAAATTTCGACGAAAAACCTTGTAATGAATTCAAGCTCTCTGCTCTACAGAAGGTAGCGATGATGACTGAGACATGCAAATGTCCATTTAGTGCATTCAAGAAGCGATTCGGACCTTCCCGCTCTTTCTTCCAATTCGTCAATTCTCTTCGCAGATTAGTTATCTAATAAAGGGTTTGAAGTTTTTTTGTTCGAGATTTTTATCGAACTTCGAAAAGTTTTTTAGTTTCTCGTGTGATCATTCTCACAAGTTCCCGTGCTTAGTTCAGTTTCTCTGGTAATTGATTTCTTTACATGCTGAATTGAAATCATCTCGGTGGAGTTGCTGTCATGGATGCCGCACTCAGCTAGCATTTTTCATGGTTCTGCAGAACGCGTGTGAAGCTTGTCAAATCAGAACTTTAATCGAAGAGGTAGGATTGTTTTCGCATTCACTCTCAACCAAAAAACCATCCCCAATGTGTGAAATCCTTGTAAACTACAAAAGAGTGGTGTGTTGAGGCACATTCTCGAATGCCGATCAGCTAATAATAGAAAGTTGAAGTGGTGCTGCAGATTGTCGACATGCTAGGGACCAGAAGACCTTCGAGATGCGCAGTTGGAAGATGACTGCAGACCGTACAACAAGTTCGATCGTCTCAAGAATTGGTACCACATTTTGGCGCTAGCCAGCATCAAGTGATCATGCCAGCTCCAAACGAGTCTCTTCGAGGGCATCATCCACTAGGACAAGCATTGGGCTGTATGACGGGGATCTTTCAACTTTTTGAAGGCCATCCGGCCTGCATGGGCCACCGTTACAGCTCGACTCGGATCGGCATCGACAGCGGTAGGAGAATTGAAACCTCATCCACCTATGAATCATCGTTTCTTCAGTCTTCAGTCACTTCAATGCTTTAAAGATGTGTAAAGTTTTTAAGACACAAGTTGCAATGCAGTTACTGACAAGCAACACGTCGCTGTTGCAAGCAGGTCAACTCCAGCTGGAAGCTGAAACAGATATTCAGTCGCGTAGCCACGACCATCATTTCCCCAACGTAAGTGAACCTCCACGGTCAATCCTCTCAGGTTTTCGCATAGCTTCACTATTTATCTCTGTCCCATTGCGTCATCTCATTGAAACCAGAAATGTGCGTGTGTATGAATGACCTACTTATACTGGGTTGATCTCACTCATACAACGTTCCATCAAGCAGCTTGGAAGTTGAAGTGCTGATTTTTTATGCAGATGAGTGACTGTAAATCACATGGGCCTTTCATGAACTTCCCCCAGTCTACGAAGCAGCATTATAGGTCACACTCCGACATCAGTGACTTGGCTTCTACCCCCACACGAACTCTCACAGAATTTGGCCCTTCGCAAGAGACTAATGGCCAACCACAAGAGAAGACTGCTCATTCCGAGAGCAAAATGGATGCCATAGAATTTTACTATAATGAATCATTACGAGCAGCTGCAATCTTTGCAGCGGATCCTCGGCGCCGCTCCGATTTGGACCAAAGAGAGTACAGAAAGCTTCCCCGCAAGACAATCCCGGCAAGTCCAAGGCTCGTGAGCATGGGTGCATCGGAGTCTTCCTCAGATACCAGGGATAATATTGTACGTGGATCTTCACACAATGAAAGCGAGCGCCCGAGAGATATAACCAAGACTAACACAGCCCGGTTACTCGGTGACGGTCATCACCACAGCTATTCAAAAAAATTCCAACGGCCTCTAGATAAAAGAGTAGATGGGAGACGAAAAGCAGCTGACTTGCCCCGCTCTCCCTCCATTTTTGGAAGGTACGAACCCAAGGAGCTTGTTCACTGGAAGGAGGGGCTCAGGAGCTCAAGTCCACCTCGCAAAAGTTTCACCAAAGAGATGGATCCGCAGAATGTTTCAGATGGAAGTGCCAAATCGTTCCGCAGGTTTTCAGGAAATAGCGAAGGCGTAGTCAGCCGTCATATATTACCAGAAGGAAGAGTCGAAGTGAAGAAAGAAAGTCCTCATGTGCGCTCTATGCCCAGGGACCGTTGTACTTTTGCTTCCATCGGTCCACACAAGCACGTCCTCGCGTCACCGGATTCGAATTCTATTCACAAGGATTGCAGCTTCAAGGAGTCGCCGGGAGCGGCTGACTTCAGAGAGTCGCTGCGGCCATTTCTGGCAGGTGCAGAAGAAGACAGATGGGGCCTAGATCAATCTCACAATTCCAATGAAAAAAATCTGATCGGGTTCCCTCACCAGATATGTGACCATGAACAGATTCTCGTTAGTAAAGTTAACAGCAAGGAGCATCGCAAAGTTTCTAGCATCGTTGGTCGTTTGATGGGTTTGGAGGAGATTCCGAGCTCTAATCAGCAAGTAAAGGTTTCTTTGCCAAAAGTTCCGGATGCGAGTTCTAGAGGAGACAAATTCTTCCGAGGGCTCGTGCAATTTGATCCACGAGTTCAGAAGATAAAGTCGTCTTCACCACCCCCACCATGCCGGCCGAAAAAATATGTTGTTCAAAGCCTTCAACCGCCTTCAGAGTATTATCGACAGGGAGCGTGTCATCAGCACAATTATCCAGCTCAATATAAAATAGAGGAAAGACTCTGCGGCTGCTGCTGCGAGGAAGACAGAGATTACGAACACCCAACTACGAACTCATTCAATCCATGCGAGCAGGAAGACCAGGATTGGTCGGTTCATCATGCAGATCCTAGGCAGCAAGAAGAAAACCATGGCAGCTCCTCACCACAGCTTGAAGATCCCAATATTCAAGATCTAAACGCCAGTGTGGCTCCTAAGACGCTCATGAAACGGTCTGATCATAAGAAGAAAACATTTTGGAAGATTTTAGAGGCAATGCGCCCCAGGACGCTGCTTAAAATTTCCCGGCGCAAGCAGTCGAAGGGGGAGAAGCTACCATCGGACAAGACGATAGCCGGAGAAGTGCAGCTAATACCGGAGCTTGACTTGGGACAGCATCAGCAGACCGACGTGATCCAAGCTTCGAAGTTATCCACTAGTGCAAAGAATCAAGAACATTTATTTTATCCCAATTCTGTCAGTCAAAAGCAGGACCAGCTTACGGAGAACTGCGACAACAACGGGTTAAATATGGCGGAGCGTGCCAGATTTCAATCTGAGGATGACATTCTGATGATGAGGGCCATTGGGAATGCAGGGTCACAGGTTGCAAAAACAGGCACCTTTCAAGTTCGGCATGTGAAGACAACCTCCAGCACTTCGAACGACAAAGAGGCGTGTTCCGCTATAAGTGCAGAGAGTGTTCGGAGGTAAGCACGTTACACGATGTCGATTACTTAAAACTGAATCTTGTCCTAATCTTCTTATAGTCTGTATTCCTACAATACACGATTACCTATTGAAAACCAGGATCTGTATCTTTCTTGCCTTTCATTTTATAATATGTTTTGGGATTTTGCAGGCGAGCGACAAAGCCCGAAAAATCCAGAGAGGTAGTAGCCACAACAACTCGAAATGCTCATTCAGGAAGTACTTTGGAGACCGATTGTGAAACGGACCCTTCCAGTGCTACACAGAATGGCAAGCCAGAGAAGGTTCATGAGTCGAGGAAGATGCGCACTACTTTGAGACAGCATAATCAAAGCTCCAAAAATCCATCACCACACACACGAAGGAAGCAGGAGATACGCTCACCTCATGATGGTCGCCCCCTGTTCCCTAGAAATTCTTTCAGCAGGGACTTCCGTGATGCAGATGAAATAGGTAGGAAACCTCTTGCAAGAGGTCAGAAAGACAGCAGAGCCTTGTACCCAGCTCATCCCAAGGCGCAGTTACCGAGAAGAGACACTTTGATGAGAAGGTCTACTGCTAGGGTCAACTTGAAGGACAAACCAGCGTCAGTCAATGACGAGAAATCTATTACCAAAGAAACTATCTCTGTGCAATCAAAATTGAAGCAATCAAATGGGGTGGAACCACCAGCACCCAGAGAACGCTCGAGCGTCAACGGTTCATCAACAGCAGAAGCAGCCACTCTTAACACATCTGATAACTCAGATCTGCCTCTATCTGGGACTGCTCCAGGACATTTCTCAGACTCTAAACCTGGTTTGGAGATAAGCCCAAAGCCGGGGAGATTGAAGGAACCCATTGTATATATAAGACGGTCACCGCCAGCAATCCAGAGAATTGAAAATGCCTCCATTATCGACCATGACAGAGATAGTAGTACAGGGCCCTCGCAGCCTGGAGCTTGTGTCCCTGTTCAGGCTAATCCTCGGCTGCTATCACAGGTGCGTCTTCTGAGTGGTATTATCCAGAGCCTTTTCTAGTGCTCGTTGACCAACTTGTGAGAAAGAGATTTACAACCAGATGCTGATGAAATAAGGTGTGAATTTTCCATTTTGTTTTGCATGAAAAAGGAGGTAGAGACCCTAGCTATTGAAGAACTGACGCCACCCCGAGGTGATATACTGAAGAACGTCCAATTGGATGACAATCAAACTGGAGGACTTGACAGACCAAGCCCCATCTCTGTGCTGCACAACAGTGCTCTAGAAGACCAGCTCACGCCAAGCCCAAGCTCTCCTAAGCAGAGCACTCCTCTATTACAAGGTTAGTTTCTGCTCCCAAACATAGAATTGCATGAACCTGAATCAGGTGTCAATTGATTTGCCTGCTGCAACAGATCTTGTATTGGAAAATAAATTTTTAAAAAATAAAAAATGTGACGATAATTGATTGGTTTTTTAATGCTTTATAAATTGAGTGACGGAAGGATCTCCAGTGCCAAACATTTCATCAAGAATTATCACATGGTTCAATTTAGTGTATGGTATTGAAGGTATAAAGCATTTGGTTTCTCTGCAGATTCTGTCAACGTACACAGGGACGACCAATGTTATGGAGCCAGGGATTCAGAGGACTGCCTTCAAAGCAACGATGCTTCTGCATGGATTGAAGCGAATGTAAACTTCGACGAGCTATTCAGCAAGTGCGCTGCAGGTCTAAAAGCTCAATCTGAGAATACGGCAACTGAAAACCTTCTTTGCAAGTTCCAATCCTATTTCAGAACTGCAGGGCCAGACAAAGAAAAGATATTTACCGAGAGCTTTATGACCTCGTCACAAGGTGGAGCTGACTGCGGATCTCAATGCGTCTCTGCGAATTCCCTGACGAAACAAAGCTCCTACGAGTTTACAGACACGAAAATTTGCAGCGGAAACCTGCTGCAATGCCTTCAAAGCAACGAAGTACTCCAAGGACATGACCCTATCCTCTTGCTCGACTGCCTAGAAGAGATCATGGACAGAATTCTGGAATCACAATCAAACCTCATGCTTTACACAGGATTTCCCCACGAAACAGTGTACCCAAAGCCCAAGGGCAAGCAGCTAGTAGAAAAGCTCTGGATAGAGCTGCACGACATCGAACGCGCTCCACCATTGGAAGACGTCTGCGACACAGTCCACAGATTGCTGCACAAAGACCTGCTCAGGAATCAAGGACAGCAATGGTCGAACTACAATGCGGAGTGGGAAACGATCGGCGTAGACATGGAGGGAATGATACTCGGCGACTTGATGGAAGATGCCGTTAGAGATTTGCGAGCACTGCTACCCCCGAATCCGTTCCACAACCTCCCAATTGAGGCTGCAACTAGGAGACAATTGTTTGCATTCTGAATTTTTTTTGCCCAAACCTCTATTCAACAAGAACTGTTACAATGTAATGTTGTCGAATTTATTCAAACCCGAAACCCAACCACAGCGTGCGTGATCATCCTCGGCACTAGAGATACGCTAGAGGTTCTAGATTTTACGAATCCGTATCCGAAAAGGGCGTGTGTGAATTTTGTAGCGCTTTGGGATTGTGCCAAGTACACACGCAAAAGGCGTTTTAAAGAATGATAGTCAAGTCAACCACGGCAGACACAGCGCGTGATATGCAAAGTTTCCATTACCACTGGGAATTATAAAATTCCAAAGAATATATAGCCTGAGTGCATGAGTTTTGGATTCCTAAGCCTCATTGACCAGATGTAACTTTGTAAATCTGCGTACCAATTCCTATGAAACTAACGATAACTGCCATCACAACCATCGTCCAGGCGAGCGGCAGATTCTCATGGGCGTGCTTGCCCCTCTTGATATTTGACCTAATCACAACAAGAGCCGGAAAAATGAAACCTAAAGAGAGTCCCGTGGTGGCGCCCGTGAACTCAAACGCAACCCAAATGTTGGGGATCAGCATCGACCCTACGAATATCAACGCAAGGAGAAAGACAGTAATGATTGGAAACCTATACTTACTCTCCGGTAGGGGAGGCGCCTTGGGGAACAAAACCGCGTCGATCGTCTGGCGCAGAGAAAAGTGGATGACGGGGAACACAAGCATGAGATGAAGCACGTAGCCGATGCGGATGGCATCGTTCAGCAACCGGCTGAACGGAATTCCCAAATCCGTGTCAAAGTTCGCGAGCACATCGGAGTTTGTCAAGTCCCCGAACATAAGGTACCCCGACAGCGCAGTGGCGCTGTACACCAACACACACAGCACGGCCGTGATGCGACCCACTTTGAACATCTTCGCGGGAGACCTTTCTCGGAGCTCCAAGTAAATCGACGGAACATTGAAGTGGCACACGAATGCGTTCGACATGATGGGGATCACCGTCAAAAGCTCCAAAATCGCACGCTTAGACGCAAACGAAGGCAGCATCCGGGGCACTTCCAGCTTCCCGGCTGCCATCTTTGCGATCGCAATCCCTGAGGATAGCACCACGAAAACGACCGCCAGCGCCACTGACACGGCAGACGAAAATTTCAGTGAGTCGATCCGCCTCAAGCTCGACAAAGGTGCCAGAACACAAACCATCGTCACCCCAACCACAACCTTTCGATTATTCCACCAGCCAGCTCCTGCCCATCCCTCGAACAAGCCCTCGTGGTTCTCTGACCCGGATAACACATCGCCCATGATGATTAGATACACAATCAACACCCCGGCATTGTTGATGAGAATGCACAGCTGCGCAAGCATCCGCCCCGCCCATCCCACGGCATCCCCGACTAAGTCCCCGAACGTCCACAACTTCGTGAGCGTCAGGTGGTGCACCAGCATCTCAATCGAAATCTCCGACAACAGTCCCATCACGAAAATTGCCAGCAATCCCAACGGCACACCCAGGACTCGCATGGCAGCTGGGAGGGCCATGATCCCGGCCCCGATAATGGTCGTCGCCAGGTTGAACACCGCACTCCCAACGTCCGCCGTGGCGATTTCGTCGCCATAGCTCCCCAGCTGCTCATCTTCCGCGGCGTCTGACGACGCCGCACCGCGCACGAGAAGAGGATGCTCCTCGCTTACCGGCAATTTGTGGCTTCCATTTTCGAGATCGCGTGGTCCTAAAATCAGATGTTACTCGACGATTGGAGCAACTTGGTGATTTTTTATTTTTTGTTTTTTTAAAAGAGGAAATTGCAACAGGAGTAGGTGGTAAATGCATTGGAAGGTGTCTAGGAGAGGGATTTTAAGGGCTAACCTGATTCGAGTGGCAAATCCGAATGAACATGAAGAGAAGTATCGGCGGTGTGTTGAACAGGGATGCCATGATGCGAGAGGAGCTGCGGGGAAGGGGAACTGAGGTCGACAGTGTCGTAGGATTGAAGCTCCACCCACTTCTGCTTCGTGTCCAGTGAGTGGGGTTGGGAGGGAGTTTGCATACCTGATCACGTTGGTGCATTCACCCAATCTACATAACGGTTTCTCGTGATTGCTTGCAACCTCGTCGTGGTCAATCAATCACTATCCCCACTAGCTCATCCCCAATCGCTCCCGCAGTGTTCTCGCATCCAGCCTCCCTTCCGCCTCCAAAATTTCCACGCCCCAGTGGACGGATCGAACCAACCCTTCTCAGGTTGATTCGCCGTGGTGGATTCCCAACGCAGATCCCTTCGCCCACCTTGCAAACTCACTCCAGCATTCCCGATCTCGGACGCGACCCAATTCCAGGACGAACCGCACAAACAATGCGAGATGACCGAAACCAAACTCAAATTCTGAGAATAGAACAAAAACACATTGAATGAAAGCTAACAGCGACCGGGTAACTGCAAATCGTCAGCGCCTAGAAACTAGCCGACTGATCAATAAACCGCAGGTCGCGAGGAAATATTTCGAACTAAAGATAGACTACGAACTCCGACGCTCCGAAGCCCGCGTGGTAAAGGTGGGCACCCCCTAATACCGTCCGTCTCCTATTGCCACTCCACCAGTGGGCCCCTTTGGCAAGTGGGTCAGGGATGACGTGGTTACCACGTCGTCCTTTTCTGGCTTCCGCGGGTACAGCGAGTCGTCCCTTGCTGTCCCTTTCTGTCGCCCGTCACCTCCAACTTTTACTTTTCTCCTCAGCCTTTTTCTATTATTCTATTCCGATTGGGAAATTTTTCGTTTCCAAATCGGGTATCCGGTTTAGGAGCATTGAAATGATATCCCATGTATGTTTTGAAGAAGTTAAATAGTAGCATGGTTTACACTTGTAGCCATAAATCGGTATCACTTGCTTTTTTCTTTTTCATTTTTCTTTACTTTTTAGGGGGGGGGTAGAGTGATCTTTATGGAAAATGAATAATAGAGTTAAGATTGTCAAGCAAGAGCCGTCGGTCAAACGCTACTGGACCTTTGATATTAGACAAGAGACTGTCCGTGCAGAGTCCAAAAATTGGAGACATCTCATTCACCTTTCAAGGCTACAATATCATAGCAATATGAATCAAAATTGCATAAAGAACATGGATGAAATTCCCTTTCCTGGCCAACAAAACCGAGTGAATTTGGGTGACGTCAAGAACCATACACCTTTTGAATTGAAAATTCGTCCTTCCAAACAGTATCCAAAAGAGCCTACCTTGTTGATTGCTGTTGATCAAATGTGAAACCCTAATTGAAGACCGCCTCCAAAGGCAGAGCCCTAATTCGGAGGCCCGTGTCCTTGGTTGGGTTTGACGACCAGTAGTTTTAAGAAGCGTGGACAAGAAGCATTTTCTGACCTAGGTTCCTAGAAACCTCGATCTAGTTCCACGTCATCTCCACGTCAGCTGGACCTCCGGACCTTGAAGAGCAAGGGCAACATCATGGGACACAACAACCTGGGCTTCGTTGTCACCGTTTTTAATGGCTTACGGATGAAAAACTGTCCTAGGTCGTGTTGGTCCCATCCAGCAAGGTTCACTTTGGATGATAAAGACTGTAGGAACCACGTGAGACGAGTTTCATCCCTAGATGTGGATTCAACCACATCTACTCGTACATCCACAGATAATAGTAAATCAAGATCCTGGAACCTGCTGGAGGCCACGTACGGTTCCATGAAAGTCCACCCTGGATTGCAAACACGTGAGCTGGCTGGCTGGATGGATGGATGTAGTATATGGATGTGCAGTGGATGAATATTTTGATGGTGATCTTGAGCTCTTGGACAATAATTTTGAGGACATTGATATTTACGAAGTTGGTGGCACCCCCTGCATGCAGAGAGCATGCTCTCTTGGATGGAAGGCAAATTGTTTTAACTTAAGTAAAAGTGAAAGTGAAAGTGACATAAAATGAAAAGTATGCATTGACGGTAACAATTACTGAGAATGGTAATCAACTATTAATATTGTCTAGAAACTTTAAAAATTTCTTCATATTTTTTTCTGTAGAAGTCCCAAAGCCACGTTCAAACGATTGAACGACATGAAATGTAGCAGATTGAAAAAACTTTCTAACGGATTTAATTTCATAAAAAAAAAATCAGAAAGTGTAAGTATATGAGTTTACTATATTCATTATAAATTAACATACCAAGAGTGCATTTTTAAGATTGATAATGCATGGTTATTCTTTGTGTATTTCTTTGAATAAATTAAAACAGTTAAAATTTGCATTGGTTTTCTTTTTCTTTTTTCTTTTTTGTAAAGGCAACACTATTGCAATTCAAAACCTTAGCAATGTCACTTAAGATCTGCTTGTGTTTTTTCTTTTATGTGTATACAATTCCAAGAAGACTGATGATGTCTGTAGCAAATTATCATGAACACATAAAAAACGTAAACTTGTACAAAGCATAATATGAAAAAAGCATTTGAGATTCCAAACAAATAACATTACTTATTTTCAAGATTTACTTTTGAAGAGCAGATAATGCATTCAAATCTGAAATGTACAATACCCAATCATTCAAACATCATTCTGAATCCCAAAAAAATTGACACAACTTGCAACAAAGAGAATAACATCAACAAAACTGGCAGGGACTTAATATTCTAAATGCAAACAAGAACACGTTCAACAGACAAAGTCGACCTCTTCTTCAACATTGTCATCATACATCGGACCATTTCACGCAACCCAGAACAACAATAGAAATACTCCACAATCACACGGCTTAAAAATCATTCCCTCTTGTTTTAGAAAAAAGATCAGACAATTTTTTTTAAAAATAGAACGAAACATAAGTAAGAAGAAGTCCCAATTACCACATTTCAGTTAAAACCTGGCAAACGTGAGTACCAAGGCAGACGTTTAAGAGCTCGGCCGAGCACCTCCAAGTGCCCACGTGGAATTCAAAAATTCAAAAAATATTAAAGAAGAAATCCAAATGCGGTGCGGGCGAATTAGGGCATGGGAAGGGGCTCCCAGTGCCCGAGTGAGAGAGGGAGAGAGTATGAATGGCTGGGGAGGTGCAGAGGGTGCTTCCCGAATCTGGAGCCCCCGCTCCACATTCTCTCACTCTCTCTATTTCTGCGTTCGCGCATTCGGAGGGGCCGTAGCACGAATCTCGCCGCTTGTGTCCAATCCCAATTCCCCGCTCACATTGCAGTAGAGCCTGTGGCCACTGTGAATTGCACTTCAGAGCTTCTTACTGTGTGAGATTTTGCGAGGTTTTGCCAAGTTTCAGAGGGTTTTTTGTTTTAAGGTTTGCAAGGAGGAGCATGGCGCTGCAGAATCAGCTTTTGATTGGCAACAGAAGGGCGACGAGCGGATTCGGTGACTGCTCGTCGTTCCTGCCTGGGAAGCCCTCTGGGACGAGAGCGCAGCGGCTGGCCACCCGCAGGTCGCTGCTGCTGTGGGGTGCCAGAGCCAATTTGGACGCGTCGGGTGGGTTTGGCACGGATTTGTTCACTGAGACCAGGGCTGCGGGTGGCGGTGTGAAGACGGAGAATCGGTTGGAGAACGTGAGCTTCGGTTTTGGGTTGGTTATTTGCGGGTTTGGAGCTTAGGTGGCTCGAGTTTCGGTCTTTTTTAGCTGATTTCAGGGTTTTGTTCTTCTTTCGTGTGGTGAAGCATTTGCATCTGATTTGATGAATTTTGATTATTCTTTTGAAGTGTAGGTTTTCGGCTCTTTCGATGGAGGTATGGTAAAAGAGTCGAAGAGAACGTTGGAGTTTGTGAAGTACCAAGGTATCGGCAATGACTTCATCATGGTGAGCATTTTCTGCAGTCGTGTATCCATTTGCAGAAATTCTGGTTTATGTTTTTTATCTGGAACGTAGTTCAAGGTTTCCATGCGTTAGGGCGATACTTTGAGACATTATTCGGTGTGGCAGTCGCCTGTAATGCAATTGTACGGGGAACTGGAACCTTGAAGCTCGTTCTAGTGTTCGAGGCTCACGGACTCAATGCGTTCCTCGTATTCTTTGAAATCAAAATGTGTAGTTGCGTATCCTCCTGTATCACGTCTCACAACTTTCGGATTTCGGACTTGGAGATTCTAGCAGCCTAAGCTTCCGTCATTTGACTAGGATGATGATGTACGCACGTTGTTAGGGTTTGGTTTGGTCTGGTCTGGTCTGGTCTGGTCTGGTCTTTTTTTTTTTTTTTTTTTTTTTTTTAAATTTATTTATGTGAAAGGAGCGAGAGGGAGAGAGATATCGTGCCTCAGCAGTGCACAAATATACGGAACGGCTTCTACCAAGTCACCTACTATCTTTCTCTCCATTTTTGTCCCAGATTTTTTCCCATGGGGACAGGGGAGTTATGTGGTGAGAATGGATTTATCATCGAGTAGGCTAATGTTCATAATAATTGCAGGTCAACAACCTCGATTTTTCGGAACCGATCATAACTGCGGCAGAGGCTGTTCGCTTGTGTGACCGCCATCTCGGCATTGGTGGCGATGGTGTCATCTTTGTCATGCGGGACGGGGAAGATTATCAAATGCGAATCTACAACTCTGACGGTTCTGAACCAGAGGTGAGACATATTCCGCTTCGCTGCAACTCATGCCTTGAGTGACTTCTCTTCAGCCATCTTGCTCGTTTCCGTTCCTTTGTGTTGAATCTATTGGACGTTGAGTAAACTCATGCTCCATTACTTTCAGATGATCTTCATTGGTTGTGGAGTCTTGATTGTGGACAATGCTCTCGTGATTTGGTTAGGTCTAGGTGATAATATCGAGTTTTTTCTGGTCAAGAAATGCAATCAAAGATGCGCTAGTCACAATTGCGTGCTTTTTGCAAGCAGATGTGTGGCAATGGAATTCGCTGTTTCGCCAAGTATCTTGCTGACCTTGAGCAGGCATCAGCACCCAGGAGGTATTTCCCGTTTCAGCTTTCACACTGGGGATTTATCTCTTGCATTCCATCCTCTACTTTGACATTTAAGCATGTTGTTGAGCTCATTAAATTCACGTGCGTTTTGAGTTCGCAGTTACAAAGTCCTCACTCTCGCAGGCCACATGATTCTTGAATTGCGGGAAGACGGACAGGTGTGCAACTTTCACACTGTGGTCTTATATGGCATCGTCCTTCAGAGTCAAATTCAATCTTGGGAGTGCCAAGTCCCTTCTTGTAGTCCAACCGCTTCTTTGTATAGTTTTCTGTGAATAATTTTTGTACTTATTATACACTATGCTACACAGGTCTGCGTGGATATGGGACCTCCTATACTGGAAGCACCTCAGATTCCAACTAAGCTTGCTCCTCAAGGGGAGGTTGTCAAAGCACCGTTGGATGTGGATGGAAAGACGTGGCTGATGACGTGTGTTAGCATGGGCAATCCTCACGCTATCACCTTCGGACAGGAAGGAGGAGAGGTAAGGGTTTTACTCGTAGCTTCAGTATGTTATAGTATCGTCATCATCATCATTATTATTACTCCGCATAAAAATAATGATTTGAGCTGAGTGTTAAATTAACTTGACTTCTAGTGGTGTGTACTTATGTTATATGCTGTGTATAATAGGGGTTGAATGTTGATGCACTTCCTTTGGAGCAAATTGGACCTCTATTTGAGCACCACGAAGTGTTTCCTGCGAGAACAAACACAGGTACGCAAGGAATGTTCAGAAAATTTGCTAGAGCACTTTGGTAGATTGTTTTTTCACCTATTGTTCGACTGAATAAAGCTGTAGATGGTGTAGAGCTGATCTATGTAAGCTTATATGAATCTTGGGTTGTGCTATTTCAGAGTTTGTTGAGGTCTTCTCTCGTAATCACCTCAAAATGCGCGTGTGGGAACGGGGCGCCGGTATGGCTTTCCTTACATGTTTTAATTGCTTTTACGACGCCTACGACGCCAGGCGTGTTTATCTCTTTCCTATATATCTACAATAGCATACAACAGTTCAACAACCATTGCGGTTGTTTATATAACAGAATCTTGTTGGCCTTTCCATCATTGTCTAGTACATGTTATAGATCTCAACCTCAGCCTGCTACTATCACTTGATTAATCTTGTTTGTCTTTTCATGGACAGGTGCTACTCAGGCCTGTGGAACTGGAGCTTGTGCGGTAGTTGTTGCTGCAGTGAAGGAAGGTCGCGCCGAAAGGGTGAGTTCGTGTGTCCTGTAATGCAATCTTGAGCTAGATGAATCATCTTGTGTATCTTGTTCTTGGATGACAGTGGTGTTCCTAATTTGTTGAAAATGGCTCTGGTTAATTCTTATTGCTTCGTTTAAGCCACGTTGGTTCATTTCAATGCTTATTCCAGATCCCTTAATCCCCTAATGGTGTAGATGATTTTGCCTTTTCCAGATGATACTCATTCAACTTTCTCGTGGAGGAGAAAGTCATAGATTGTTATTTTTAGATTACTTGTATGCTGTCATAATAATTATGTTATACATTTTTAAAAATTTTAAAATTAGTTCGAATATGTTTAGGAAATACCATTATAAATACAGTATTAACTTCTATGAATTGACATTATTTTCTGGAACGATATATTATTAAAGTATTTAACGCAGTTCAATTTTATCAATCAAAGATTAAATTGCAGTTGTATTCTTTTAGAAGTAGGTGTTTACGTTGGGTATAGAGGAACACTATATTTGCTTCTTCTCGGTCCCCTCCCCTCCGTCTTGTGCTAAGTTGTGTTGTGTTTGTACCTATGTTCCAATGTTTTCCTCCGCACATGTTGTTAGTGCATGGGGTCTAGATCTGCTATCGTTACCAATTTTGGGATAGGTAATGCGTGTGTCGTTGGCCCAGGACTGTGCCTCTGACAAGGACTTGGCACTGCGTACAGTTAGTTTTTAACACTTAGAAAACTGGGGACATGCTTCCATTTATTGGTCATTTGTTTTCATTGATAGGAATTGCACATGACAGGGCATCTCAAATCTGTAGTGTCTCAAATATGAATTACTCAATTGTAATCGAATTATAATTCGATTCACTAATCACGAGAAACGTAAATAAATTGGAAGCAAAAAGTTGTAGGCAGTTTTTGGTCGTGTGCGGCATTAGGATTTAAAACTTGGATAATGTGTATTTATATACGTAGTGCACTTGAATCTTTTTCTTCTTTTATAATGGGTGATTGTGTATTTACGTAAAATTGCTTTGGTTTTTAATGTTGCAGAGGTGCACAGTTGATCTGCCCGGTGGTCCGCTGGAAATTGAGTGGAGAGAATCGGACAACCACATCTACATGACCGGCCCTGCGAAGAGAGTATTTCAGGGCACAGTTGTGCTCGAGAATTAGTGGAGAGGAGTGTTGTAGTCGACTTGCAACTTGGGGTTAGATACATTTTGAGTCTGGCTGATCAGCTACATGCTCTTCCTTTTTTGAAACACAATTGCCTACGGTTTGCAGCTCTTATCAGCAATTGTGAACTCTAAATTTTTGGCTTTTCTGGTCAACTATATCCTCGTCATCCAAGGGGTTTCTCTTTGCATGACATGTCCAATGGAGTGATGCATTTCCTTGTGAAATCCTTTTTCTCACGTGTACACCTACTACAATATATCCCACCTCTGCAAGGAGCTCCTCAAATGTTTCAAAATGCATTTCTGAGCAATCCAAAGATGCGGAGCTCGTTGAATACATCGATTTATTTCTTGGGCTGCAAGGTACTGCCTGGTCAAATCTATACTCTGCACAACTATAGTCATCGTCTCTGCCAATACTGGATGGAGTGTTGAGTTGCAGTTATGCTCTTAAAACTTGTAAAGAAAACCGATGACAGCAGGGCGGATGGATCATCAAGGTTACTTTACAGTACGTCACGCTTTATGAACAGGCAGCCTCGTGCAATTTGAGCACTCTCAACAATCGAATAACCCGTACTTACGTACCTAGTGCAATGTAGGGGTACAAGTCACAGTGCTGACGCAATGGCAGTGTTGTAGGTAATCCATTGTAGACTATTACAGTTCACTAATACGGACTGGAGCTACTTCCACAACAGTATGGTCAGGGTGGACCCTTCTGAAGGATTTCAACGCTGTTCTCTGCACGTCTACCACAAAGCTGTATTATACTGCGGTCTCAAGGTGAGTCGATTCTTGTTTTTTTAGCCACGGACACTGTTTCTACCTGTGATGGAGTCGGCTGGTGTAGCCCTTTGCAGCATGCATTTCTACGCATTTTAGATGGCACTCGAATTTCAAAACGTCTATTTCCTTGACTTCCGTAGTCGATGCTCGATTCTCTACGTTCCAGTATAATTGTGGACTCCTGGTGAACTACACCATTAGTCTCTTTCTCTCTCTCTCTCTCATACTCCACAGCCTAGTTACAGACTCTTAAACCAAACAGACTTTTAAACATTCCAGGTTGTACGAGATTAGTGTTGACAGAGTCATTGGGCTGCATGATCTGGCCACCAATCGCTCCACTTGGAGATTATGGGTTTAATGTACTCTCTACCAGCGTACTGTTGCAGATTGGCCACAGATCGGATATGCGGATGGACTGATACTGAAGAATTAAGTTTTGTGAGCACCATCCCCGAGATAAAGCTGCCCACACCCATCTCTGCGTTGGGATTGCCTCATGGGTTATGCACTAAGCGCCTCGTATAAAACTCGAATGTCGTGTTTTAAGGTTTTGAAACTCGCTAATCCCTGAGCTAATTAGGCAGTCGATCAGGACACTGAACAGGACTGGGTCATGAGGAGCCCGCAGTGAGGTTGTTGATAAGGTGTACAGGAATGTACTCACTTGTAGGCCAAGGCTGAAGCAGGTCCCCATCAGTCGCTTTTGGTGGAGAGGACACATGCAGCCTGACGCAGAGGAGGCAGGTTCTATTCAATTGTGTGCCACAGAAAAGGACTTTCCCAGAAGTTGAAAGCATTATCTCATGTCAAGTCTCCTTCGCAGTTCTTTTTTCCAAACCTGGTGTTTCTGGGGGTATGGTGTCTTCCGACACGGGTTCCGACACTGCTACGACGTCTCTGTGAGAAGCCGAGCCTCAGTTGATTGCGCTTGATTTGTGACTCGTGAGGGGGATTTGATTTGAGCGCTGTTTGATTTGGAATCATGCTTCTCTTCTTCATTTTCTCGCTTCTTGTGTTTCTGATCGTCAGTACCGCCATAGCGCCCGCTTTGATGGAGCAAACCCAAGAAGTTGTAGACCAAGCCGTCGGCATGTGGGCCCTTCCATCTTTCTTTGGCGCCCTATCTGCGTTGCTGCTGCTCTTGGTCTGCGTTCCCTGCGGTCCGCTGGAGCCCGTGGTGAACCAGGTTAAGAATTTCCAGTACTGAAGCTGAGACCTCCATGCACTGCACGTCTCTACAAGGGCTTCTGACAACCCATGGTTGATCTGGTTTGCGCACTTTTGCGGTTTCGCTTTGTTCTCCAAACTAGACCTACAGGTCAACTTCTCAAGGACTAGCCAAGCGCGCTTCTGTGGAGGTAAGCCTTCATAGCTACTATAAATCATGGATATCGACTTTTGCTCCGGTTACAGTGCTAGAAAAGCCTTAGCAAACGAAAGTCCTATTATAAGGGTGTTTGTAACATGCCTCCCTCATTTTTAGCATTAATCTGTACATTTTTACAAGGGCTATTATTGCTTTAAGCCCTCTTCGATCTGTCAGTTCCGTAGAACGTGATAGCAAGCTATAATGCTAAAAATCAGCTCAGTGTGAGAAGAAACGCAGGTTCGCCAACATTTCAGAACGTTGCAGAAAGGTAGAATTTGTCAGGTAATTTAGTTTAGTCTTAGAAACAGTTCCATGCCAGGCAATGGAGAAAATGAACAGCCCACTGTTTTTGAAGCTGGCACTGGCCACTGAAGAGCACCCCGAGTTCGGGACCTCCACACAGAACTCCACATCATCCCTCAGCTTCCGTGACCACCACTCTAGTCTCTGACACTAGTAGTGTCTTTTTGGAATATCTTGCTTTGCTCGGGTGGCGATGGAGTTAATTTGCAAGCTGGGTGCTGTGACTAACCTCATGTTTGGGCCACCGTTTTGTGCTGCCAGCTGAACTACCCACATGGGAGGACGATGAGCTTTCGACACAGCCTTCGGCGTTGTTCGTGACTGCAGCAACAGAAAACTGCAACTTTATGTGAGAATCTGCATTAGCCCTCTGATATCAGTGCATTTGTTGCCTTCCAGTGAGCTCCAGAATGTTCTCATTTAAGGATTTTTCACGCAAGTCTTTCCTTGCTTCTTATACATGCTAGCAAGAGGATAAGCTATAGAGAGTCTTAACTAAAGCCAATTTTGAAAACAGTGGATTCTGCTGCTCTGTTGAGTTAAGAAGTAACACGACCTAGATGAACAAAATATATAGTAAAACAGCGATTACTGGAGGTGATATTGTGTGCAATGTAATGGGTCCGTTTCTTTTCTTGCAGTGTTGATTGAAGTATATCATATAATGATATGTCCATGAATGGTTATTTTTAATCTTCATTTGTGATCGTGGAGAAGTTTTAGTTTTTCAAAAAAGTATAATATAAATTCATTATCCATTTACAAATTTGAAATGTTTTAGAGTATAACTTCATAAATATATTTAATTAGAAAACATTAATTTAGGTGATAATATTTCATAAAGTGAGCCAAAAAAATCATACACAAAGTATTTTTTTTATTTCAAAAAGCTGATTTTTAACACCATGGTTGAAATTTGCACAAGTGATTTGTTTTATTAAAAAAAAAAGTTGAAACTTTCATTTAAATTTAAAGTATATTTAATATTGTGTATTCTTTAACTTCAGGTATATAATGAGAATACAGATGGTTTATAAATAGCCTAAACATTATTAAAAATAAACAATTAATTTAACATCAATACAATTTAACAAAAGTATTAATTCTAGGAAGATATTCTAAGACAAAATGTTTAATAAACACACAAGGTTGGTATTTTTTGTAAAATCAGCCACTTTTAATGTAGGAACATATATACAAAATGTCAGTAATACTAAAAAATGTCATATATTTTTTAAAATTTTGGTAATAAAATCCAGCCTTTATACATTAAGAATGTAAAATTAAAACTGATGAATTATCCTAATTCTAGGCTTGATTATGGTAAATAGAAGAGGTGGAATATGCATAATGAACCAAGTTGTAAATCCAAGTAATAGAAATTAAATACATATTAGTTAATGCACTTGATAAAACATTAATAAAGATAGTATTTGCAATTTGTATAGTGACAATAATAGTATCTCATATCTAAATTATTTGATCTTTTCCATCAATAAATATAGATAGTAATCTAGGATAGAAGAATACCTAAGAAGTATCTTGTGAGAGCTTTAAATGATAAGGTATTGCCAAAATTTAATAAAAATAAACAAGTATTAATTTATTTCATAAATATTTTATTAATTTCATATTGTGCTCAAATGACCTATAAAATATTTATAAAAATTATGATTTATTGCTATACTATTTTTTTATATAAAAAAGATCAATTAAAAAATATCTTAATTTAATTATCGAATATCCTTGAAGAACTTAATCTTCTAGAGATTTTTTTTAAAAATTATAAGATATGTACTTCTATATTCCTGTAGATCTCCAAATGTGGCAAACAATTAAAAAAAAATCATTTGTTAGCCGCTTTTTGTTACAATAACAATTGCTACATCAATCTAGACTTAGAACATTCTTATTGGTTTGAAACTCCAACACTTGTCCAAATTGGGCACACATTAATATCAAAGTCAATAAAATTATTCTTCATGGAGCTCCCCATAACTAATCAATAATTCACAATCCAAATATAAGAGCCAACAAACTTATATATATATATATATATATATATATATATATATATAGATACAGTGACAAACAAAACCGAGTACAAAATCTGAAGTGCCAACTGTGAAGAGCAATTACAGAAATTTCAATGATTGCTTTATAAATCTGAAAGTTACATGGAATAATACACACAGTCTTGTACACATGTACAAAGTTGCACATCAAATTGATAACTAAACATCCTTCTACAAAGTCAAATCAACAACTATGTCTTGTACTTAGTATTGTTCAAAGAAAATCTTCAAACTTCAATATTTGTCAAGGACAAAGACTCGATGACGGAAAATATATACAAAAAGGCTATCTCGATATAATAAGTCAAAATATAAACAAGTAGGTATATTAAAAGGAAACTGGAATGGCTATTGCTACAAGACAAGAAACTAAAGACTCTTGAACCTCGACTAGAAGCAAGAAAGGAGTTGACAAGAGTGAAGAAGCCTTCACTCTTGTCTCTATATATACTATCTAACTAGGGGCTACGTGGCGACGTTCTATAGGACCTCTAATATGTGTTGACTTTATAGGACACATGCCTTGACTTACAAGGCAAGTTTTTCTACGTGTGGGCCACAAAGTTAGCTTGATCTTCAAGCTAACAACATGTGTGGCACATGGCCAACTTGTTGACCACGTTTCTAATCCAAAAAGTCAATTAAAGACACCTATGAAGTCAAAGCAGCGTCTAGGAAGTTTCTAAGAAGCTTCTATATTAAATATTATAGAATTAACTTACTTTTATCTACTTTTACTTACTTCTACCTATTTCTATATGTAATTATTAGCTTACATGATTATGGCCGTGACATTACCCCTCCTTCTAGAGACGAGTTCCACAAGGAGCGGTCATCATATGTTGAAGAAATCTATGATGCGACGAATTGTATTCGCCACATACTTTGATCTCTGTTCTCTTCGAAGATGATTGATAGGGCCTCTCAACCATCGGTAGTGTCCCATACCAGGGCGAGAAGACCACCCAGTTATTTGATCATTGTTGAGGCCTTCGTAACTTCCTTCGAATAGAATATTTGGAACACCATCAGGAGTTGTTCCTACCTCTAGCAAAATCACCAAACATCGGGAGTCCCTTCCCAAATCGTGATACCAAACGTGTTATATATCACCATCTATTCGAGGAAGAATATGTCGTTCTTGAAGATCTTCATCTCGATTGCGTCGTCTTGAAGGTTGTGACAATCGTAATGTCTCGTCCAACAGGTCAGCAAACGAAGGTTCTTGAGTTGAATCCGCTGGTTGTTGGCTCTCAATCTAATTAGCGTCACAAATGCAAAGAAGTTACAAACAAGGATAGGAAATTGAATGTTATCTTGCCTCAATCTTGTCTCTTTTATAAGAGAGATTTTCATCTTGGTTTCGATGGATGTCGTTGATGAAAAACTTTGACTTTAGCTGATGCATTTGCTAGATTCCTGGATGGCTCCCGTGTGCGTTCACTAATATCATATCCGCGCCAATGAACAAGATATTCCAACTTATTTCGGCGCCGCCTTGAGTCTAATATCTCTTCTACCTCAAATTCTTCATTATTATCTACTTCTATAGGAGGCGGTGGCATTTGTCTTCTTCCTTGTATATCCACTGTCTTATATGGTTCAAGAAGAGACCCGTGGAATACAGGATGGATCTTCATTGACTCTGATAGATGTAACCGATATGCAACTGGGTTGATCTGTTCAGAAACAGAAAAGGGGCCAAGCCTACGATAGTCCAACTTGTCACAAGGTCGAGTAGTCTTGATATTGCGACGAAGTAGCCATACCTTATCACCCACGTTGAGTTGTGGTTGCTCCTTACGATATAGATCTGCGTTTATCTTTTGTCGTTCTTGAGCTTCCTTCAATTGTGTCTTCATTATTGCATGTAACTCTGACAACCGATTTGCCATATCTTCTGCTGCAGGATTATCAACTTTTGAAAAATCAAAAGTATCAAGTCGTGGATGATAGCCATAATTGGCAAAGAAAGGTGTTTATTGCGTGGAAGAATGTACCGTATTATTATAAGCAAACTCTGCCAATGGCAGAAGGGTTATCCAATCATCTTGTTGGTAGTTGATAGTACACCTTAAATACTTCTCCAAGACTTGGTTTACGCGCTCTGTTTGTCCATCAGTTTGAGGATGGAAAGCCGAAGATAGCTTTATGTCCACTTTTAAAATCTTGAAAAGGGTCCTCTAGAATCTTGACACAAATTGAGTTCCCCTATCCGATATGATATCTTTAGGTAATCCATGATAGCGATAGATATTATCAATGAAAAGCTTAGCTGTTTCTTCACCTGTGATAGATTTTGTACATGGTACAAAGTGTGCCATCTTGGTGAAACGATCTACTATCACAAATATAGAATCATAAGATCTTGAGCTTGGAAGATCTGTGATGAAATCCATAGAAACAGAAGACCATGGTTGTTCTGGTATAAGTAATGGCTGAAGAAGTCCGTAAGGTCGATGACGAAGAATTTTTGATCTTGAACAAATATCACATGATTGTATAAAGTCTTTGACTGACTTCCACATTTGTGGCCACCAAAAATCTCTTGATATGAGTTCCAAAGTCTTATTATATCCAAAGTGCCATGCTGCTGGAAAGTCATGACGTGCTTGAAGAACACATAAACATGCTTCTCCTTCTGGAACATATAGGCGTCCTTCAAAATATAATAGATTATTTTTGAACTCGAACTTAGAAGAATCATGAGACTTGGAAGAATTATTCTCGATATCATGAACAAGAGGGTTTGAGGACATACTGGACTTGATTTGCTTGAGAAAAGTTGAATCAACAGTCAATGTTGATTTCATTGCTCGGAGATGAAATTGCTCCGGTTTCAAGAGGACCATTCTTTGTTGCTCAAAAGCTGCATCTCCTTCTTTTGGTGCAAAATAAGAACGTCTAGATAGGGCATCGGACAAACCTTGTTGTTTTCCTGGTCGATAAGTGATAATGAACTCGAATCTTGACAAAGACATACTCCAACGAGTTTGACGACGATTCAACACGCGTACTGACATGAAATACTCGAGGTTCTTGTGATCTGTATACACAGTGACTGGACTAGAAGCGCCTTCTAGATAATGACGCCATTCTTAAAAGGAATCCACGATCGCAAGAAGTTCTTTATTGTGGATCTCATAATTGATCTCGGCTGCTGAGAATTTTCTTGAATGAAAAGCTATCGGATGAAGTTTGTCATCTATTCCCATTTGTGATAAAATTGCACCCAAGGCAAAATCTGATGCATCTGTTTCCATAAAAAATACCTTGGAAAAGTCAACACGATATAAGACTGGTGCAGAGACAAACGATGTCTTCAAGGCTTCAAATGCTGCTTTCGCTTCTTGATTCCATTGAAATTTATCTTTACTAGTCAAGCGTGTAAGTGGAGCTGCAACTCGTGAGAAATCTTTGATGAAGATCCGATAGTAATTCGCAAATTCCAAGAAACATTGGACATCTCTTACTGTCCTTGGAATCTTCCAATCCATGATTGTTTGGACTTTCTTAGAATCCATCATGACACCATCATTTGAAATGATGTATCCTAAAAAGTCAACTTGAGTAGTATAAAATACA